GAAATCAGATACTCCATTTAAAACTATTGTTGTCATCACTATTAGAAATAAAGTCCATGCATTGGATCAGATTATTAAAGTTCAAATCTGTATTTAAGATCTGATCATCCTAATTAAGCTTCAAGTTATTGAATTTCAAAAGGAAACTTTTTTTCTAGAAATTGATTAATTCCAAAAGATGAGAGCCAAATGGAATTTTTATTTTCAAACCTTATAGATTTGACATTAGAACAAAACTGTCAAGATCACAACTATTCATTTTACTAATGAAACACCTTAATATATAATAGATTTTGAAAACAGTGATAATAAACTTAAAAAAATTGAGTATAATAATGAAGATTTGGAAGAACAAGAGATTTACTACTTTGACCATACTAAAAGAAATAAGAAATACAAAGAAAATAAAGAACTTAAAATTCAAATCGAAGAAAATCCAGTGTTTTACCTCTCTGATCACATGATTAATCAAGAAATAATATCTGAAATTTATCTAATAACTGAAGAACAACAAGAAATAGTTAACCAAATTATAAAAGTAAATAAAGATATATTTGTAAAACATATCTTTAAAGAAAGCCAAATTCAGATCTAAGAAGAACTATTGTAATTATATACTTTATTGATACAGAAAATGCAAAACTTATTAAGCAATATGTCTATAGAATATTACTAGATCAATAAGACTTTATCAAGAACAAAATTGGTAAGATGCTAAAGAAAGAAATCATTAGTTCTACTTTCAGTTCTTGGAATTTCCAGTTGTAATTGTATCAAAGAAAAATGGCAAGAAATAATTTTGTATTGATTTCTGAAAATTAAATAAAGTTACAAAAAAGAATATTTACCTTCTTCCAGTAATTGATAATCTTTTAGACTCTTTTCAAGGCATCAGATGGTTTACCTATTTTGATTTAGTAAATGGATACTGGCAAGTAGCCATAAGCAATAAAGATAAAAGGAAGACTACTTTCATCATGAAATATGGACTCTATGAATTCAATATCATGCCTTTTGAATTATATAATACTTTTGCCACTTTTCAATATCTCATGAATAAACTTCTTGAATCCTACAAAGGAAGTATACTTGAACAACATTACTATCTTCTTCAAAATCTTTCAAAATCACTATAATCATATAAACATTATCCTAAATGTTCTTTGCCAAGCAAACTTAAAGTTGAATATAGAGGAGTGTTATTTCTTTCTTGCCAGTGTCAAGCTTTTAGAACATGAAATTAGCCATGATATAATTATGCCAAATGATAATAAAATTATTAAAGTTAGAGACTTTTCAAAACTAACAAATTTTCAGACAACTTAGAGAATTAGCATCCTACTACAAAAAATTTATTGCCAACTTTTCAACTATTACCAAATTATTAAATAAACTTTTAGAAAAACAAATACTCTTTGAATAGATTGAGATGCAAGAAAGAGTATTCCAAATACTAAAATAATATCTAATTTCTGTATCAATCTTGAGATACTCTGATTTTAATTAATTATTTTATCTTTATACTGATACTTCTGATACTGGATTAGAAGTAGTACTTTTTTAATGAAAAAAAAAACAAGAACATGTCATTGCATATGCTAGTAAAAGTTTAACTAAACCTGAATGAAAATATTCTACTATTGAACAAGAATGGTTAGCAATTATCTGGGCTGTTAAGCACTTATATCAATATCTTGAAACTTATTACTTTTATTTGATAATTAACTACTCTACTCTCCAATGGTTAAAGATATTTGAACTTAAAGAAAGAAAAGTCAGATGGATTCTACATCTAGAACCTTACAACTATACTGTTATTTATAGAACAGAAAGAAAACATAACAATACTGATACCATGTTGTGTATATATAAAACTAAAAAACCAATTTATATGCTCCAAGAAAATAATAATGATTAAAATACTGATTATAATTTTGCAACTGCTAATTCTATTACATCTTATTATTCCCATCAAGAAGAATCACTATACAAAGTTAAATGGTTTATTGCAAGAAGATACTGCCTTATCTACAAAGAAAGAGCTAAAGACTATCATATTTATACTTTTTACAATTGGTGTAAGAATTATTTGATCAAAACAAATATTCTTTTAAAGATAAATACATCTGTAAAAAAAAACAAAAAGCAAATAATGTTCAATCAATAATAATCCAATTTATCCAAATTATCTTAAATAAAGTTCACCTATATTCTTTTTCAAAAAGAAAATTTTAACATCAACTTCATGATTATAACTATCATCAAATTTCAAAAACAAGATTAAATGATAAAGAATTTGAAGAACAAGTTCAACTATCAGATAATTATTGGTGGTTACTAAAACTTGAACAACCTTTCAAATAATATAGAGAAAATTTTAATAATTATTTTAAAAATTATTTTTGCAATTCAATCTAGTGGATAGATACCAATCCTATTACTTACTATTAAAATCTTTTTGAAAAACAATCAAAGAAATCTAACATAAAACTGAATTCAGATTAGATAGTCAGGGTTCTTGCATCCAAACTTCAACAACATGGAAACACAACAATATTATCAATTGAAAAATCTTATTATTAACAATAAATTAATAACAAACATTATCAATAATCAACAAAAATATTTACAATTACAAAACAAGTTTTTTGAAATCAAAAACAATCAACTTTACAAGAAAGACAAAAAAAGAAAAACTCAAAATTTCAAATTATCCAAAGGAGAAAACATTTTTCAATTTATTGACAACTTTTCCATTTCTCCTTTCATTTCTACACTTCAAGAATTGGCTTCTGCCAACAATACTATCTCCAATTTTACCAAAGCAAGATTTTCGCAAATAGTATAAAATTATTTCAACCAATTCAGAACACTTCTTAGGAGACTTTCTTCATATAATAATAGATATTTTGTACTGGTGCCTATCAAACTGCATCATGGAAATAAGAAGCAGCAAAAAAATTCTTCAAGAAATATTCAACTATCTAAGAAGAATAACAAAGATCAATTTCGCTTCAATAATATTAAGAATTAACAAACTAATACAAGACAAATTAATTCAAATAAGATATACCAGTTCCAAATCCAATCCAAGATTTGATGACACTCTTCAATGAATCAAGCTACCACTTCACTTCTCTGAAAGTTCTCTAATCAACAATTTGCAGTTAGACAGCAGTATCCGATAGTGCAAGAAAATCCTAAGTATCACAAAGACCTATATAATCTGCGAAAGCTCATCAGTTCTAAAAACATTTGATTACATTCACAAATCTTATGGCCTTAAGATTATCAATAAATCCAACCAAAAAATAAAAAATTCCAAAGTCAATAAGTACAGCAATCTCATTGCCTTCAGAATCAAACTGTTTTCAAGAACTTTTCCTATAAGAGAAAACCTTCATAAACTATATCCAGAACAATATCCTGATCCATATTGTCCCTGATATAATCTACACATTGAGGATATCAAACATGTCTTCAAATACCTATTAGTTTTAGGAGATATTAACCAACTTATCAACACTATCAACAATATTTTTTACCTTAATAAAAACCACAAGCCAATCTTATATACTTGGCAGCTAACAAAACTGACATGTGGCATTACTGACAATATCTTCTTCACTACCAACTTCTTCAACTAGGTCGAAGTCTCAACCAAGATCTTAACTTATCTATATAAATCAATCTGGATATTTTGCTGCACCACAGCAAACACTTCTCTCCTTACTGATATCAAATAAGACAATAACTTTCACAGCAACATATCAAAACAAGTGACCAAAAATCCAACCAAACCCAAATATTTCAACAATTCCATCATTTCAATATCAACTACTATAGATTTATCTATATTAGTTGTTAATTCTTATATCCAAAGCAGATTTAATTTTACTAAGTGCATTTCCAAATTAATTTCAGACTATTTTAATTTTTTTCCATTCAATGCTAAGTAGGTAATCATAGCTGCTTGGAGCCTCTTGACAAGATATATTGTTTTAAAATTTCTTTTCCATATTAGTCTAATGGTTACTGTAGGCAAGCTAGCATTTAACTCGTTGTACTATTACACATAAAAAATGTTGTTTCTTTTATAATATATATCTATTACTATATAAATTAAATAAAGAAATGATGTTTATCTACAAAAAAAAAAATAAAAAAAATCAAATATTAATAATTTTTTATTTGAATTTAGTTATTATTAAAACTTGAAACTAAAAAAAAAATAATTAAGTTTGAATTAAAAAGAATTTTTGTTCTTAATAATAATAATATAATGTTTTTTTAAAAAAAAATCAATTTAACAATTTTGTTAAAAAAGTTTTTCATAAAAAACTGTATTTATATTGATAATCTATATAATAAAAGTATACTAAATTAAAATTTGATATAAATAATAACATCTATTGAAGCATTGATAAATTAAGTTATAATAAACAAATTATTGTTATTATTATTATATTTAAATTGCAAATAAGTATCAAATGTGAAATATTTTTAAATTTAGGTTTATTGTCATTACAACTAATAAATAAATAATTTTATTTTAATATATTGATTTATAAATTAATTACTGTAATATTTTGACTGATTTGCTGTATATTCAATAATATAGATACCGTAAATGCAAATTTAAAAAACAAGGTTTAACATAAAACTTATAATAAGTTGTAATTTTAACAAATTTATCTTGTCAAAGCAATAGAGAAACATTCCAGATTTACTATTTATTAAATAAAATAAGGAATATCCTTAGGAATTATGAAGAGCGAACATTTGCTTTCAAAAAAAAAAAATTATATATACTATATATATATATATATTGACATATGTTATGTCCTATACAAGAAACGTAAATTACATGCGATTGAAGTTTAGGGAGAAGTTATGTATATGGTTGAATCGAGGATGAGATTAGAATATACAAGTGAGGAGGCTAATCCATCGTAATTCTCACCCTTGAAAATGTCCATGTTTTACAAAAATTAGATTCATCAAATAAAGTTTTCAATGTCAGGATTAGAACGTGGTTTTTCTGCTCCCTCCATCTTGGTGACCTTGAAAATTTCGCACTCTTCGATATCAAAAAACATTTTGGATAAATTGGAAGCATTGGAAGTGTAAAAAGAGGGCATGAATACCCCACTATTATATTTCAATATCAGGCGTAAATCTCCAAAACACGGACCGTCTTCAGATAAGAAATTACGATATAATACGTCAAATTTACTCAATCGACACCTTGTTATTTCAGACTTGTTTTCTCGGTTATCGAAAAAGAAAATAAAATTATCCTTCATACTTATTCCTTCAGGTTTGTAAATATTCTTATTATTGGTGTGAAGTCCATAAGGATCGTAACCTCCGATCAAACATCGTTGACCAGCGACCTTCGCTATTGCAAGGGTAGGTCCTTTTTGATTACACTTTTCCGAATAACTACTGAATCCATCTCGAGATAACCGGTAAACAAGATCAAACTTACACCTACACGGGATCTTTGGCTGTTTTTCATCTCGTCTTGCCGATCCGCCAATCCATTTTATAAAATGAGCAGCATGAACGTGATTTATGAGATTTGAATTTTTGAGACCCTGAGAACTGCGAGCCCTATACTTTGTCAAATACCATTTGAGGGTATAATCTTCAGTATCTTGGGGTAATATCCTCTCGTATGGCAAAATTTTAGAATGAAAATCGTTTCTTGATATCTCAGAAAATTGGATTAGAGGAATGAGGTTTCGAATTGTTATTCCGAGCATTCCAAATTCATCATCAGACCAACTTTTTAGGAGTTCATTGTCAAGATTAGGATGTTGACTCAACGCCCATTGAATGATAAGATTCCAACGGGTGATGTGATCAAAGGCCATGTTTTCTTGTCGAAGAAATCCTACAAGCACATGCTCCTCGATACAGCACAAATCTTCAGCTTCTAGTAGCCATTGAGGGTAAGCGTTGATCTTGTTAACCAAATATTTTCGCAGTTTTTGATAAGAATCCATTCCAAATATTGTGCTCATCACTGGAACACAATCTTGATCTTGCCAAAAATCCATGTTCTCCCCAATGTCATCCGGTACCTTCTCCAACAGATCATCAAGCATGAATTCATCGGCCGCACTAAAAAGTCCATATATATCATCCGCATCTAGCTCATCTAATTTCAATTCTTCTGTATACAAATATCTGCAAAATCGAAAAAAAAAATTAGTTAAAAGACGATATTCTGTTAATGATGCACAAGATTTCTGGAACTTACTTGAGGATGACATCAAATACTCGTGGTTTTACATTTGGTTTCTCGAGATAAAATTTATCGCCATCTTTCCTTGCCCATTCGTGTGAAAGGGCAATACGAAAATAAGCGGAACGAGAGCTCAAGATGACAGACCCTGCTTTAAACTCTTTTACGTCAGGTTCCTCGCCAACTTTAATAATTGTATTATAATCGTCGTCACCATAATCACAACGATCGTCATTAATATTTTCAGCAGTACTTTCCATTACTTCGGGTTCATTATTTTTTTCTAAAATGTTATTTAAATCACTCTTTGTCACAAAATTACTTTCCAAATTAATATTTACATTTTCTAATGAGAATTCAACATCATCACGGTTATTAATAATGTCCTGCTTTTCATTAAACATTTGCGTAGAATTTAAAGAGGTGTATGTAGTAGCCATCTGATGATTTGAAAATGGTTTGTTCTATAGCGTAAACATTGTGGATTATATCATTTACTTTGTAACACGTGTCGGGAATCAAAAGTAAATGATTTTCTTCCAAATTTAACGAGATGGCGGTTGAGTGAAAATTTTATTTTCCTGATCTACAGACAGGTCCTCATCGTGCATTATTAATTTTACCAAAGATAGGAATATGGCGTACAATGCAATTTGATGTATCAATTACTTACCATATACATGCTAATTCTTGATTATAGTATGACTTGTACTTGTGTAGAGCGAAACGAAATTATTAATGCTATTCTAATTTGTTTGTTTATCGAAAATGATTTTGGCAACTTTATATTTATGAAAATTTCAAGTCATTTTTTCTTTTTTCCACCCTTTCATCTGCCGATGAAACTGGTGGTATACAAATTGCGCGAATTTGCCTAAAAAATAAAAAATGCGTAACTTCTTGATCGACCTTATCAAAAAAAATCCTTTATGCATACATAGAGACCAGATTGGCGTCAAAAAAAAAAAAAAAAATGTAATATTGGTTGTCCAAAAAAATTTTTTTTTTTTAATTTTTTTTTTTTTTTATGACGATTAAAATGATTAGGTGCACCTTAAACCTATGATTTAAAAAAACTAAAGCGGCATAGTTTAAAGCCACTAATGTGTACACCCATGATAGTCACAATATATGTAAGGGAAGAAATGGTGAACAATGCCAAAATTCCATCGTTGAGGCCTTGTGGAGGAAACATATGTAATTTGTTTATTTATTGATTATGTGGAGAAGAACAATGTTGATAACCCCATTGTTTACAAAATAAAAAGAACCTTATGTACTTATGTTTCTTCTTCTTATTACACAAGCTTATGTTTAGGTTTTGCGTTCCAAAGTTTAAAAAAAATTTTCGTTATTCCACCTTTCAATTGGTAAAAACAGCAATAAACATCATACCTACAGACCTCGTGTGCAACAACTGCAGACCTATCACAGTTTCCCTAAAGATTTATAAGGAAGAGTGGAGATGATAAGTTTCGGTCTAAGTAAAATATAATCATTACCCCACTGATTTATTTATATATACTTGCTTGACACTCGGATACTCGCTAGGCAAACAACTTCTAGTCCATCGAATAAGCTTGTGCCACAAATATTGACCGCATCTGTCACAGAGAATTCGTAAATATTTTTTTTATAAATTAAACTATATACGTAATTATTTTTTAATATTATTTTATTTTTATCAAAGATGGATATTAAATGCAAACTTTATTTAAACAAGCTATGTTATTGTTATTTATTAACTCAACTTGCAAAAGCCATATCCCTTAGTACTTTATTTAAATAACATGTAAATATTCAATTTATTGAAAATTCTATTTATGTCTATACAGTTACAAAAGAATTACGTATATTGATTTGATTTTATATTGGCTTGATACAATTCACTTACTTATTCAAAGGTACAAGCAGAAATAATCATGTCAAGATTTTATTTCTAAGAAACGTAATAAAGAATTTTTTTAAAATCCGAGTTTGTGTTTCAATAATGTTATTATATGTTCAAAAAAAATCAAAAAAAAAAAATTTTTTGTTGAAAAATTTTTTAACAATTTTAAAACTCAGATTATTAAAATAAATTTATATTATTATATACAATTAAATAAGTCATTTTATTTTTTATTTTAAGTTGTCCAAAAATATTTATAAAACTTATAAAAGTAACTTATTACTTTAAGAAAAAAAATTTTTTTTTTTTTAAGTAAGTAAACATCAGTTCTTTATTTGATTTGTATACTGTATGTCAGGGTATACATTGTGAAAAAAACAGCATCTCTTATGCACTATTGCGATAAGTTAAATGTTAGCTTGCCTACAGCAACTATTTGACTAATATTGAAAAGAAAATTTAAAACAATATATCAGTACCAAACAGTTATGAATACCTACTTAGTATTAGGAAGGAAGAAATTAGTCAATGATGGGATTAAATTTCTAATACATTTGGTATAGTTATATTTATAGTGGATAAAAGAGTTAGTAACTATAGTAGGTAAGTCAACAATAATTTCTTGTGAAGAAATATTGGTAGATAAGGTTTTGTCTTGTGGACTGTGAATACTACTTTAAAAAATTTTTATTTTTGAAAATAAATAATACATATATATATATATATATTATATTAAAATAAAGTCTTGTTTTAAATATTTAAAAAAAAATTAATAAAAAAAAAACATAAAACTTGATAATTTAATTTTTTCCTTTAATTTATAATTTTTATATAATATATAAGTAATATAAAAAAATATAATATTTATTTACTTATAAAATATATTACTTTATAAATATATCTTATTATATATTAATATTTTTATAGAATTAAAAATATATTTGTAATATATTGCATATATATCTTTTATTTATTATTTATTATATATAATTTTATTCAATTTCAAATTTAATTTTCAAAATCAAGTTAAAAATAAATAAAATTTCCTAAATAAATAAAAAATTTTAATTATAATAAAAAAAAACATATAAATTAAATAAAATTTAACATGAATATAAAAGTTTATTGTAATAAAAAAAACTCTTTCCTGCAAATCTCAAATTTCCTAAAAATTTTCTTTTTTGGCAACTCTCTAAAAAAAAACACTTCACAGAAACATCCAAGGAAATACTCAAAGGAAAACTCCACAATACTCTCTTGAAAACAAAGAAGA